CTACACAAGTAAAAAATTAGCGGAAGCTAACACTAACAAGTAAAAATTAGCATAAGCTAACACGCTAAACAAGTAAAACTTAGAAGAGGCTAACACTAACAGCTACACAAGTAAAAATTAGCAGAAGCTAACACTAACAGCTACACAAGTAAAAAATTAGCGGAAGCTAACACCAACAAGTAAAAATTAGCATAAGCTAATGAGCTAAACAAGTAAAACTTAGCAGAAGCTAACACTAACAGTACACAAGTAAAAAATTAGCGGAAGCTAACACCAACAAGTAAAAATTAGCATAAGCTAATGAGCTAAACAAGTAAAACTTAGCAGAAGCTAACACTAACAACTACACAAGTAAAAAATTAGCGGAAGCTAACACTAACAAGTAAAAATTAGCATAAGCTAACGAGCTAAACAAGTAAAACTTAGCAGAAGCTAACACTAACAACTAAAAAAGTAAAAATTAGCTGTTAGCAGACCTAAAGTTGGCAAAACCTAATTTATCTGAAGCTAAGTGGTCCACTAACAGTTTTGAAAGTTAGTGATGAAGTGAACCCGCGAAACGAAATATTAGCTTGGTTATTAGCTGTTAGCTGTTAGCAGAACCATGCCCATCTCTGCCAGTAGGTAAAACTAATCCAGCATTTTATCTCCAGTTCCCCCACATGACTTTTTCAGCAGAGTTTTATAATCAATCATATGTATGTAAAAAGCAGTTTTGACACACAGATGTGTCATTTATGGTTGTGTGATCATGTGATAATAACGGAAAGCCCACCTAATAATATTGGCAGCTGCTTTTCTTTCCTGTGTCAGGAGCTCTGGGTCATGCATCACCTCCTCCAGGAAACCAATAACCCGCAGCTTCAGTTCTGAGTTCTTCTCAAAGTCCTGAGGACACACAGAGTAACAGTCATTACTGAGCCGCTGTCTCCTTCAAAGACAGGTGGAGGGGAAGAAGAGAAAGGTGAATTTACCTGCGAGTGTTTGGAGACCCAGTGACGCAGCACGTTCAGAACTCTGTTGGTGGCAGCTCGTCGGATGACAAACTCTTTGTCTCCGTTCCTCTGGTCTGTAGGAAAACCTGGAACAGGGTTTATTAGTTATAAATCAACTCATACTCTTTATTCTGAATGGCTCAGTCCTTCACAAACAATAAAAAATGAGTCAAATATTTGAAAAACATATAAATATATATCAGAACAAAGATTTATTGGGGGACTTTACTAACATCTACTTTAATGGCCCCTTATTTCCACTTGTAATAATAATAAAAATATATATATATATTATTTTTTAGATGAAAAATGAACATGAATTCTGCAAATGTTTTAGTTAGCGTATAAAAAAAGTAGAGGATTCACAGAGATTTGGGTACCCTCTTGTGGTTTTCTAGTACTAAACCGTCTTTTTAAAAGGTAGTTTTGAATTGTATAATCTCACCATAACTCAACTTTTTCAGCAATCAATAAATAACAACAACAGCAGGTAAAGTTTAACTCATGCTTAAAGACTTCTATTAGCCACATCAGATAAAACTAAATGTAATTATGAAAATGTGTTTTGTTTTGTTTTTATTTCAAAATCAAACAAGCTGAATCTTCTTTTTAATCAACCTTTTGGCTTTTGCTGAATTGTTCATGCTGATCCTGTGTTTATTCAAAATGTTACAGCAATGCCTAATGAATTTAGTGTTTATTACAAGCACAGCTGTAAAATCAAGCAGGAAGAAGTTAGATAAACTTTCCACATCAGTTTACAGTGTTTTAAATTACAAGTCACTAAAGTCTACTCTGGTCTCAAAGAACAAAATACATCCAGGTACCATTTCACTATAACAAGACCCTTATAAACAGCTAATAAACAGTTAATAATGCAGTTATTAATGAAACTATGAACACTCAATGTAGTAATTATGTATTGGATAAAAAACAATAAAGACTTGTTTGTTGCCAAACAGCGAGCCAACATTTATCTGTACTTTACATTTTTACTTTTTACCTGCATTCTGTTTCGATTTTTAAAAATCTATCTACATGTAATCAGTTTGTGTCTCTCTAGATGTTTTTTTTTTTTTTTTTTGCAAAAAAAAGGGCAGTTTAGTTGAAAGCTGAGAAACTTGCAAAACATGACATATACAGTACCTACATAAATAAAATACAGCACTGGATTTTGTGAAATAGTGAAACTGCTTCAGTGCAACAACAGCGTTTCATACCTGCTTATAGAGGCCTTTAATGCCTTATAAAGTAAAATGAAAAACTTACTTATCAAGGGTTATTGGACCTAATTTTAATATTGAACTCTTGCAGAACACATCTCTTTAAACTCCAATGTCCAGTGTTGTAAAAAGTACCACAAAGTGATACTTGAGTAAAAGTACAAGTATCTTACCAAAAAATTACTTTGGTAAAAAAAAAGTCTCTTTTAGGAATATTACTAGTACGAATAACAGTCTTAAAGTATCTGATATTTTTTGTACTTAAGTATTAAAAGTATTGTTTTTAAATGAGCAGTTAGGTTTTACATAATGACATTTATGAGGAGGTGACCTCCCTCCGAAAAAATGCAGAAATGACTAAGTTGTATTAAAATAATTAATTAATGTTAAATTTAGGATGCACTAGTCTGTTTCAGTTTATATAGGGGCCCAAACATTTTGCCCAAAATGAAAATCTATCCAAGGGCTGTGGGTAAATTAAATAATATAATTCATGAAATACAAATACTTCTTAAGTACAGTCCTTTTATTTTAACGGTTATGTCTTACTGGAGTGTGACATGATCTGTTTGTTTACAAACTAAACGCTATCAGAGTTTTATATATTTATACTTCTCATTCAACCACAGTTAAATTCACTCTGTCTAGGAGGCACAGTTTATATGATAGTATTTATTTTTTACAATAAAACAACGAACAACAACAACGACTTTCAAATTCTTGCCTTTTTAAAAATGTAAGGAGTAGAAAGTACAGATAATTGTGTGAAAATGTAAGAAGTAGAAGTAAAAATAATTACTCACATAAAGTACAGACACCCCAAAATTCTACTTAAGTACAGTAACAAAGTATTTGTACTTAGTTACTTTAAAACTCTGCCCGTGTCTGAGAGGACGGATGCAGAAAGCTGGTCCTGAACGAGCGTCTCTACCTGCTCCAGGTGTCACTGACCTGTGCTGGCCAGGGACATCCGGCGGTACTTCTCCTTGGTGGGCGTGCCTTCGTTGGCGCCGGCCGTAGCAATGGCAAAGGCCGAGGCGGCGGACAGGGCGCTGCGGTTATTGTCCAGCTCCCGGCAGGAAGACACCACCATGCCGTTGTTGAAGGAAAACAAGGAGAACTCTGCAGAGGATGAAAACCCATTTGTTCAGGTTTTTATGGGAAAGACCATAAAGTCGAGGAAGTTTCTCTCTGAGCTGATTTAGAGACGTTTATTAACACAGGTGATTAAATCCCCTCTGGAGGGTTGAAGAAATGCTGCACCAGCTGAGCTGTTGACCATCGGAGGGCAACAAAGAGCTAAAACAGACTCACAACGGTGCAGCTCTTCTCAGTGACGGCCTCCCTCCCTCCCTTCATTACCCCGCCCCCCCCTCCTCCGTTCAGCCGGGGGCGGCACACAAGAACACACACGTCGTTGCTAAGGTACAAGGTTTCCTTCCACCTACTCACACAAGGCACTGGCTTCCCTTGTATCACGCAACGTAGGAAGAGAAGACACTGGGGATGAATTGTGCTCGACTCTACCTACGAGGTGGATGCTCCCTCGCTGCTCAGAGCGGGGAGGGCCGGGATGCTGTGGGTGGGTTTTTATCAAGACCTTATTTGGCTGTAGCTATGCTCGTCTACAGGAGGAGAAACAAAACGTGCTTTCAGTCCTCTGTGGCTGTTTTTATTTATTCATCCACCTGAGTGTGTTCGTCCTTTTAAACTCGTGGCATGAAAAGATGGTCATGAACATTTCTTTGATGCTCTCTCTGTCTGGGTGTGTTTGTGTGTCTGTTAGCAAAATAAGTCATGAATCAGTGGACAGGTTGTAGCCAGGTGGATGTCCATCTACAGCTGATCGATGTTCGGGCTCATCTGGATTCAAGATGGCCGCCACAGCCAATAAATCAGTCAGTTTTACAGATACTGAGCTAAAGTTTTGTATGGAAGTAGCTGAGGGAAATCACTAAAAGACTGCAAGATGTCTTTGTTTAAAACTTTAAACCGAATGGCTGCAGATAATATTATTTTATTGATTTTGTTTTTTTGATATTTGCCACTTGATACTCACTGAAACCACAGACAATCTACAGCTTACTGTATTTTTTGTCCTGTTTAAATAGAGGACTTTATTTTTAAGTACCTGATAACAAGATTAGAGATGAGACGGAGAAATGAAAAATGAGGAGATTTTTAAAAAATTTGCGGTTTCAGAGGGACGGCGTACCAGAGTTTTTGGCCTTGACGTTTTTGGGAGTTGACGGTGACTTGGGGGGAGACATATCTGCTTCTGCCTCATCGCTCTGACTCGGGTCTTCATCGCATTCCTCTCTCACAGACAGATCTGCAACAAAAGCAAAAGATTTCAGCATCAATGACATTTACTGTATATAGGACATAAAAACAGTCACAGTTCAGCCAAATGAATGGAAAAAAAACAACAACAAAGAAACACAGAAATGTTCAAAGATAAGCCCGATTAATATCAAATACAGAAATACAGAACATAGAAGCATCAACTCTAAAGAATGACAAACTTAGACATCAAAAGACAAGAAGTGAAGAAGTCATGATGGTCTCAGCGGTCCGAATGACAAATGTTTGGAGCAAAAACAGCAAAAGCCTGATCTCCTCTGAAGTTTAGTTAGTTTTTTTAAGTTTTAAAACTTTAAAGTAAGCAGTAAAATCTTTAAAGTGCCTGTGATGTCAAATTTTTGTAATAAACATGAATGCATTTTTGGAAAGATAACATTGATAACATGTTGCAAAACAAATTTCCTGTAGCTGAGATGAATGATTGTTTAGATATTTGCATGTGAAGTAACAGGAAGTGATGTCAAAGGGGAATGTAAGCTAACCACACAGACTGTAGAGAAGAATCTGATGTTTCTTAAAGGGGCAATATCATGTAAAATCAACTTTTATGAGCAAAGTGAAAGTGAAAGTGAAACTTAAACTGTCTGCTGCTCTTAACACTATTTCTCACTCAGTGAAGCTCTTTTCAGATTAAAAATACCTTTGAGGAAATGNGGGGACCAGAAACGCCTTTTGGGACCAGAAACGCCTCTGGGACGTGTCTTTAAGCCGAACTTCCTCATGGCAGAGCGCACCCACTACCCCCCCACATCCCACCCATGACTCCCGCAGGCTCTTGGGTGAAAGTGAAAGTGAAACTGAAACTATCTGCTGAGCTCTCAACATTAGTTCTCACTCAGTGAAGCTCTTTTCAGAWTAAAAATATCTTTGAGGAAATGGATTTTCAGATGCCAAAATAGAAGCGGAAGGTGGTTCTTAAAGAGACAGAGGCCAATTTCAAGGCGTTTAGAAGAGGAAGTGATGAGAAGATAAGTTTATTTTCTATTTAAACATAACAACAGCATTTTAATAACAACTAAAGGTGACATAGATACTTTATTATGGTATAGTATTTAAATTTATGCCTGAGAAACACATAATATTGCCCCTTTAAGATTATTTTTAGTCACTGTCAAAGAGAGACAAAAAGGAGTTAAAGTTTAAATAATTTTGTTTTAATAAACAGAGACCAGTGAGTTTACTTTACTAATGAGTTCCCCTTTGATGTCACTTCCTGTTTCACTTTGGCTGAGCCAAGTTCAAAACAAAATAGGCCAGTTATGGGACAAAATAGGTAAAAATCATGTGTACTATGTATATTTTTCTTAAGTATAAAGATGCTTTCTTTGACTTCTTGTATTTGAAAGATAAGCATGTCACAGGCACTTTAAATCTACGCTAAAGTGAGCAGGAAGCCAACGGAGAGAAGTCAGAGACCTGTACCTGACAAACAAACACACGGTTGTACTTTTCATTTTTAATTTTCAGATTTCTGCTCAAATTCTGTTCGTTTCTAAATTATAAAAGTTAATAGTTTTACTTTTTCTGCTTTACAAAGTAGACTGAACACATGAAACAATAAAACCCTCTCCTCAGTGGGTTTCTCTGACCTTGCTTGCTGACACCAGACTCCTCGGCCTTGCTCTCGGCGGCTCTGGGCTCCTCTTCGTCGGGGATCTTGCTGGCCACGGCGCTGGACACGTAGAGCTTGTTGATGTCCAGCGCGGTCTTGCCGAAGGGCGACACGGTGGCGTGCACGCCCGCGTAGCCGTTGGGAGGGCAGCCGAGCGCGGCCAGGTCCAGGGCTTTGCCGCCCGTGATGATGGGGATGTTGAGCGAGAGCTTGCGGCGGCGGTTCGGCGAGGACGTCTTGGCGATGGAGAGGGGAGGGGGGGAGGAGAACTTGCGGCTGGCGCGCGGCGACGTGGGAGACTCGCCGTACAGGAGCTTGTTGTTCTGACTGCTGGCGAAGAAAAGCTCCAAGGAGCTGCGGGAGAGAAAGGAGGAACTTTTAAAACTTTTTCACCTGGAGACGGGTGAAGGGGGTGCACGGGGAGTGGGGACGCTTCTTTATTCAAGCTACTTTGTTTAAGACAGCATCTTCCTTGCACTGGGAGCCACCCCCTCTGAGGGCCTATAAATAGAGCGTCAAGTGACGGTGTGGGAGGCACGGGCGCTGCCAACAGCAACCGGCCCAGGGGAGGCCCACCGAGACACGGGGGAGGAGAGAACCAGAGAAAAGGGTGAGACAAATAAGAAACGGAGAGGGGGAAAGTGAGAGAAAAAACCAGGGTTTTTAGTAATAATGTAAAACAAGCAGTGGAGAAGAAAGAGTGATACAGGGAGGGAGGGGGGGATGGATTCCACCGGAGCGCTGGCTGCTGGCTGAGAGTGGGCGAGCGGGAAGCCTCCCGCCTGACGTGACGCTGACTGCAGACACGCTCGAGCTCCAGAACCCTGAAGAACAGCAAAGAGTGGAGCCGAGAATCAAAACAACAAAAAGATAAATAAAAACTCAAGAGAGGACGCGAGTAAAAAAATTACAAATCAGGAGACAAGAGAGGAGTCAAAGACAAGGAGCAAAGCATCAGTGTGATGGGAGTGTGTGTGTGTGTGTGTGTGTGTGTGTGTGTG